AGGGCTTAGGGTGTAGGGCTTAAGGGTTTTAGGGCTTAGGGTTTAGGGGTTAAGGTTTTAGGGCTTAGGGTTCAGGGATAGGGATTTAGGGTTTCATGGTGGAAGGTCTAAGGTACAGAGCCCAGGTTTGATTGAGCATATGGGCTTGGATTTCAGGATTTGGGGCTTATGCATGCTGTCATTTCGTTTTTGGGGGCTAGCTGCTCAACCCTAAACCCTTAACCCTAAACCCTTATAAACCCAAAAGCCCTAAGTGCTGCTGTTTGTGTTATGCCTTGCTGATCTGCAGATGGCATCCCTTAGCCTAACCTCTCACAACCTGGGTTAAAACCCTAGGGTTTAGGATTTAGGGTTTAGGCTTTACGTAGGGTTTAGGGATTAAGTAGGATACTAATGGGGAGAATTTGAATTAGTGTTACTATATGGGATATAGGGGGTATTAACCTACCTACTAAGTCCCCCTGACCCTCCAAGTATCCATTGCGGTTTAGGGTTTAGGGTTTAGGGTTGAGTGTTCAGGGATTAGGTTTATGCTTTGTGCATTTGCAGTCATAACCTGATCAATCCAAGAACCCAACTCCTAGTCCTAAGCCCTGTCAAAGGCTACGCTCCGAATCCTAAAAGAAGCAGCTTAGGTGTAGCATGTGTGGCATGATTACCTATGGCTGTGACTTGAGACGACCAGACATCAATCAGGAGGGAAAAGGAAACGATTGGGGAGATGTAGGGTTCAGTGCTATGGCAAGTTCAGGGTTTGGGGCGAACTTTTTCTGATACTCAGCCCTTAAAGGTCCTTTCTTACTCAGTTTCACTTAGCTTTTGATATGTCTATTTCCCACATAGACGGGTCCCCCTGATATATCATGTGTAGCCCCTGGGAAAGGGCGGTATCGACCCCAGAGGTGTCAACATGGTGGATGGAGTTCACTGTTGCACCTCACTGGCAGGTTCTTTGCGAAAAAAAAAAAAAAGTTTTGCTACCCGCGTGATAACGACTCTAGCGGCACTCTGTCCATGACAAGCGGTCCATTGATGCCGCTTCAGCTCTTGGATTCTCCTGTAACTCTGAGCGGTACTTGGACCCAACCTGAAAGCACAATGAACTCAACACATCCAACCTTTACAACCCCTCACGAACATGTCTCAGCAGTCCCCGTAATTCCTTATGAGCCACTGTTCTAATGCAAGTATCTGGCGCTTACAACCGCAAAATTCTACGTGCTGAAAGTCGCCGGGCATGCATCCAAGATTACCGCTTTAACGCCAAGCGAAATCGGCCTCTTTAAAACACAAAGCGGATGGAAACTTCAGTCTGTCGCACGGAGTAACAATCACGACCGCAGCATACACAACATGAAATCGTCGAACAATGGCATCCTGCACCCCAAGGCCAGGACCTCTACGCCTCACAACTGACTTTACTGGGTAGGCCCCTGGGATATTTGATATTTTCCCTAATGGCTTTAATAAGGGACCCTATATACTAATATTGTTCAAAAGGTTTTAGGGGCCAACCCAGTTTAAGAGGTAGAGGAGCTAGTACCATCATGCGGCAGCTGTTCTTGCAGGTGGTTGGTTTTGGTGGTGTTTCGCGTCCAGCTCCTTTCCGGAGCAGAAATTCTTGTCTTTATCTGTTCCAGGGAGAGTTCCCGTCTGAGGGCGAATTTCTTTTGAGTGGAGGGTACGGAGGGTCTATTCCCATGACTTGCTGTATAGCCACATGATGCTGTGACTTTTTGGGAAGTTTGGACGAGCCGGCGAAAGTTCTGGATTGATGTCCAGTCCGCATAAAAGTCAACAATGCCCTCTGCCATGTCCCTAGCAGTCCTCAAACACTGGTAGCTCACCCGTGACATCATGTGGGTCGCCATCAATGCCTTTAGTTGCTGAATCTGAGAAAGCAACGCTGCACAGAAAACGACAAGGTGCCAGCAATAAACGCAGCACCAGCAGCAAATGCGGCAACAAGAGCAGCGTTCTTTTCATCATCACTACCACAGCAATAACTGCTACTTGGCATTCTGTTCTTACACTAGCTCCACCTGCTGTGCTACAGTTACTGCTGCTACTAGGACAGCAACAACCACCAACAACAACATCACCACCACCACCAACCGCCGTCACAGCACTACCACCATCACCCTGCACCCTGTTTTTAGTATCGGTTGGTTGCGAGACATTTGCTTGGTAGCGACTTGAAATACGTGAGGTTTTTTGTTAAATGCAAACAGTTGGGATCGGCATACCCAAGGCTAAAAACTTTAAACCACGATCAAGTTAAATCACGCATGGCCGAACCTTAGATGCAGCGACCGGATT